TTTATTTTATTTTCTCAAAGAAATATAAACTATTTATATATATATATTTTCCTTTAAAAATTAGTGTGTATGAAGATCAAAGAGGACTCCCGACTGGAGAAGACGAGAAAAAAAAAAATGGCTCCAAAATCAGATTCCCAAACCCTAACCGCTGGTGCTACTGATCCAGCCATGCAAACTCAATTGATCCGTTATTCCACGCCCTGCGGATCCTCCCATTCTCCTTCCTCCGCCCCCCGCGCCTCCGCCTCAAGCTGCCGTCGTTCACTCTGCCATCGCCGATGACGGTCTTCGCCTTCGTCCTGCTCACCTACTTCATGGTCATTTCCGGCATCGTCTACGACGTCATTGTCGAGCCTCCCGGCATCGGCTCCACGCAGGACCGCCTTACCGGCTCCGTCCGCCCCGTCGTCTTCCTCCCTGGTCGCGTCAACGGTCAGTACATCATCGAGGGATTGTCGTCAGGATTCATGTTCGTACTTGGTGGGATCGGCATCATTCTCATGGATCTAGCGCTCGATAAGAACCGAGCGAAGAGCGTTAAGGTGTCTTATGCCTCCGCCGGGATCTCATCCGTGGTTCTCGCCTATGTTATGAGTATGCTCTTCATTCGCATTAAGATCCCGGCATATTTATCTTAAATATTTGTTAGATCAGGTGGTATATTATCTCATTGTTAGATTCACATGGAATGGTGGATTGGACTGGTTATTGTGGTTTATGTGAATTTTATGGAATTGATAATCGACTGAGCTTTTTTATTTTTCTTCTTCTGTTTGGGATGATTACGAACTAGACGTGATTTTGACTTGTGATGGGTGAAAAATATTAGCTCGTAAATTTCTGGCAATAAGAATTTTATGCACTGGCATATCTTAGGTGAACAAAGACTGAATTTTAATTGATTGAAGTTCCTGGGTGGATAAATACTGAATTTTGGTTTATTGAAATGGAAATTATTTTTGTTTAATATTGTGCTTGGAACAAGTGAGTTCCCTACAAAATATGGAATCATTTGCATTATCTTTGTTCTTATGTTTAAATTTATTCATGTGGAATTCATTTTGACATGAATTTCATCTGAATTGAGTAAGTGTGTGGCTCAAATTTGAAGAATATTGGAAGTGAACTTGATAACTTTGAGAAAGAATCTTTGGAATGTGTCCGAACTATTTTTTATGTTTCTATAAATATAGTGATTCAAATGAATCTTGCAAGATAGTTTAAAATGTTTTGCTTTAAACAATGGAATTCTTTTGCTTAATTCCTTGTTCAATAAATTTCCTATTTAGTTAATTCGTGCTGAACATAGCCCTAAGATGGTAGGTATGATGGTATTTAAAACGTATGTGATATTGTCCATATGGAAAGTGGACGTGAATGGCTTGGGAAATCCATTAAGCAGTAAAAATAGGCAACAAGTGTGATGTCAGGAATAGGAGGTGTATAGTTTTCTTCTGCCATGTCTATATTGGTTCTTTCTCAACTTTACATGTCCCATATTCATGTTATCTATTTTGAAATGCTTTACTTCAAAAATGGAATTCTCTTGTGGAATTCCTTGTTCAGTTAATTTCCAATTGAATTAATTTATGCTGAACATAGCCTCGGATGGTACGTATGACGTTGTTTAAAACGCATGTGTATTGTGAATATGGAAATTGGAGATGAATGGCGTGTGAAATCTGTAAATTAAGCAGTAAGAATAGGAAACAAGTGCCTGTGATGTCAGGAAAAGGAGGTGTATAGTTTTTTTTCTGCCATTTCTATGTTGGTTCTTTCTCCACTTCACATGTTCCGTATTCATGTATCCAGCTAAGTTTTATCCAAATGTTATTCACCATGTAATGCTTTGTGATGCCAGTTAAGGACATTTCTGGTGTTGGAAGACTGATATTGTATTTTTCTGCGCTTGTTTTTGCATTTGCTTGTGGCTGTGGGACTACCAGTATATCTTGAATTATGAATGTAGCAGTAACAGGGATTAGTCAGTCCATACACAAAAAGAAATAGGTGTAGTAACAAAAGCAATTGTTAAATTTTTTCAATTGCATATTTGTTTTTTGCTGCTTCAAAGGTAATGTTCAATTGACACACATGAGAACTTCAGGGCAGGGCTACCAAACATGCTTTGGTTTCAAGATTGATGAAAAAAATTAATGAATTGATTAATCCCAAAGATTCAATGTGATGTGATGTGTCCAAGCTGTCTAGTGGAACAAGAATGTGACTTCAACGGACCCAACAGAGAGGCCTAATTAGGTTAAATAATTTATTCATGGTGTGGTTTTGAATTATCTTATTTATCTCATTTACATGCATGCTAGCAATATAGTAGAATCCGGAGACTTGGACTCATTGAACCATAGATGCTAATTCTTGTCATTATTGAGATTCTGTGGTGCTTATTGTGAGATTGTATAGGGAATGAAAAAAAAAAAAAAGAAAACTGATTTAGGATTGCAGACACGCAATTTATTTGAATGGACTTCATCCAAATTAAAAAAGTAATGGATGAAGGGATTAGAAGATCTAGGAAGCTTCATTTCCTCTTGAGGGATAAAGCTGTCTGGTCAACATGCTGTGAACTAAACATAGTTTTGATCCATTATAGGACTTGGATTAATGTACAAATTAATTTGTATGGTACTTCAAAAGTTTGAACCCTGTGTGTGTTTGTGTGGGGGGGTTGTTTTCTTTCTTGTATGAACTTAACTGTAAATGTTTAAACAAGTAAAATAAAAACCTGTTGTTTGTTAACAAGCTAAATTCCATGTGGGGGAACAAAAAGGATTTTATTGAATTTCAACCTGTCATGTTTATTGCCAATGATTATGTGTATTTCAAGAACATGGCATCCAGAGGCACTTCATTTACCCCTTTATCATGGCAGATTCTCAGCTTATGTTATCTGACTGATTGTTTTTATCCCTGTATTGAGATGCTTTGTTCACCAAGTGCGTTGTTTGATACACTAGAGCTAATTCGTCGCCACATGTTATGCACAAGTGAATATTATCTGTATGCTTTTTGGTTCTTAGTTTCTTTGCAGGCATATGAAATCCACTGTAAGTCTGTAACTATATTGATTCGATTGAAAGCTTGTGTATCTTTTTGGAAATTATGCATACATTTTGCAGTGTATGGCAGTAAAACAGCTTAGCTTTAAGCGGACAACACTTGAGCCCTTGTCTTAAAAGACTACTGGGTACTCCTAATCTTCCAACAACTTTTTTACATCTACGGTGAAATGTTATCTGATTTACTGATCACTTGATGAAATTTTCCATCCCGTGGTCAGTGTTGACAGTCTTGGCTGTAATGCTCTTGTGTGGGAAAAACTCTCACGCGGCCAGGTCTTGTGGCTCTGGCCGCAGTCGCTTGTGTGATCAATCATTATTGCTTTGCAGGCCAAACTTGAAAGCAAAATCAGTGAGACAGGAAGCTGGTTGTGTGGTGTGTCAAAGCCAGAGATGCAGATGTTTTTCAGCTCATTGTTGATGAAATTCTCTCTCTTACGATGAGAATATTAACATCCATTGTCAAGACCTGCGTTTCTATGGTTTTTAACAGCTTGTTTACTGTCGATATAAGTTAGGGAGAAATAATTAATAATTATATATATATATTATTTGATTTAGTAGCAAAATCATCTGAGTAAATTAGGCCGAAATCAGCCCCTCACCCGCATGTAAGCGTACTGAGCTGTGGCTCTGTGGTTAACACTTGCATATTATTTCGACTTAAACCCTTAAATTGAAATTTTAAAATATAATTACTACATATTATTATTTATTTAGTTATTTTTCTTCCTTGCTCCTTTTCTTACGTTAATTTTCTACTTCCATGGTAGCAATCCGAATCAGCCAACCAAAATATAAATTGTAATCTTGTATTATTTTGTAAATAGCTCTCTATTTTAACTAATTATTATATTAAAACTAAATCCATAAGAATAGTTTTTTGGGAAAAAAAAAAAATATGTTTAAAATGGCACGTATTTCATTTCGCTGGCTTGCGGAGGTGGTGCACTTTCGGAATACCAAGTGTGTTAGGCTATTTGTTTCTCCCATCCTTTTCAAACGTTCACTGAGTATGTTCTCTTTCCCTTTTGTTTAGTGGAAACTTTTCGCTCTTTTTTATTTTGTTCAAATCAAACTTGATTATTATTTTCGCCGAATCAATTTGCTTAATTTATTTCTTCTTTTTGAGCAGTCGAATAAAATATTACGAGTTTCAAACTTTCAATTAATTCATTTCATATACCTGCTACTCCCCAATTGTTTCAAACGGCAAAGCATCATCTAGTACAGCTGCCTCCGCTCATTTTAAAATTTTCAATTTCTTTCTAATACTACAAACACAAAATATATAAAGGTATTACCCGACTAATCAATTCTTCACTTTACTACACACAAACAATTATTTATAAATATTTCGACAAAACCAAACATTACTTACGTATATATAAATAATAATGTACAATATATAATTAGATTTACACCTAATTAACTACCACGTGCATGAGCATGCGAAACTGTATAATAACCAGATCAAAATTACACAATTCCACGAAATTATTAACTCCAGACTCAAAATTTGTTTTAAAAACAACTCTTAATTAATCACCCTTCCCCAGTGATTAGGTAACTAATTATTAATTAATTAATTAATCACTGATGATAAAACTTCCACTTCGTCTGGTATTGAAGTAAGTCCTGGGTGAGAAAAGTCGTCGAGGAGAAAACATACCGGTAAACCTCGGCGAAGCCAATCCATCGATGGATCGATAATCTGCCATGACAAACCCAGCTCTGTCCTCACTGTTCCCTCCCTTGTTGCTGTTCCCAATTCCATTAAACGTTCCGTACCTGACTAGCTTCCCCACCCAGTTAGTCTTCTTCTTGTGCTTGCTATGAGAACCGGGGTTATTCATCTTTTCGCTGAGGTACTCCTTCACAGCGTGGAGACTCTGCTCAATGACCTCCGGGGGCGGGGAGACAAGGGGGTTGCCTTCGACGCAGAGCTTCTGAAGCCTCTTGAGGCAGCCGATGGAGTCAGGGAGAACGGAGATTTTGTTGTAGCTGACGTCAAGCTCGACGAGGGAGATGAGGAGACCGACGGAGTAGGGGAGGTGGTCGAGGAACTGGAAATTCTGACTGACGTTGAGGATTTGGAGGTTGACGAGGTTTTCGAGGTCTTCCGGAAGAGTTCGGAGACAGTTCAGGCGAGCGTCGAGGACACGGAGGGAAGTCAGGTACGTGATGGAGTGAGGAAGAAACATAAGCTTGTTGGAGTTGACTGATAATTTCTTCAAGTTTACCAGTTCGAACCCGAGAGTCTCAGGTAATCTTGTCAACTTGTTGAAGTTGGCGTTCAGTTCTTCCAGTGACCTGTATCAATATTAAAAGATTTTTAATTAATTAAAAAGAAAGAATAGATGTCTTTTGATTTAATTTGGACAGTAGAAAATTTAATTAAAAAAAAATTCAGATGCACAAATTAATCGACGGTGGAATGTAAAATGATTATATGTAAGCAATTTTGAATAGTTTTGGGGGCAAACCTGCAATTTTCAATAGTTTTGGGGAAATATTCGATAAGGTTGCCAGAAACATTGAGGAGCTTAAGCTTAGATAGGCAACCGATTGAATTTGGGAGGGCTTTTAGCTGATTTGAGTGCACATCCAGTACTATCACATTCAGTAATCTTGCCGTTAATGACTCTGGTATCATCTGCAACCAAAACATATTATTTTATTAATAATTACATATATTTCTGAATGACTATTTGATAAATATTATACTTTTAATTAAATAAAGCAACAGGATCAAAATAGTGTAGTGTTGCTGACATGCAATATATTACTTAACACTTTAATTTTTGAGAAATATTCTATTTGAAAATATGTATCCTTGTGTTATCTTAATCTCCCAGCAATTTTAAGTGGTTTATTTAATTTATTAATTTTTTGAGATAAATATATATATAATAATACTTGTGAACTTTTTAAAAGTAACTTTAATTTTTTTTTTTTAATAAAAAAAGACAAGTCATTAATAATTTTGGATTATCATTCTTAAAAATCTAATAAATTTAATTAATTATCATTACTTAAATTTACTGTACAGATGCAAATTTTTATTAAAGATTTAATAAGTATTATGTTATTAAAGTTACACCCATATGAGTGCATTTTGGTCAAATAAAAAGGAAAGAAAAAAAAAAAAACAAAGTTAAATAAACAAAACGTGGGCTGACAGACAATGTGCGGGAAAAAGTGAAAGAGGATATGTGAAGTTTGTTGATGGCGTTTGGTTGTTGACTAAAAATGGCAGAATTAGATATTTCACAATCGCTTACAGATTTCAAAAGCAATTATAATTAAAGTTGTGAATACAATTCATTTCACCATTTTATATTTCATTATTACAATCGTTACAGGACCACCATTACCATCACCCCAAATAATTATTAATTCTTCATCTCATAATTTTCCGTTATATTTTACTTCTACTTTTCTGAAACTTTTTTTTTTTTTTTTCACTCCTCTCTCTCTCTCTCGAATCATTTTTAGATTGCTGTTAATAAAACCTCTTGAATTATCGAATTTGTTGTTTTTTTGTTTATCAAAATGTTATAGAAACAAATAGAGAAAAACTCGTGATAATTGAAGAAAGTAGAAAACATGAAGCGGTTTATTGCCAGTTGATCAGGAGCTCAAATCTGATCTTCGAAAAGTAGAAGAAGCATTAACACTTTATATATATATATACACATATAGACACACACACACACACACAGAGACACGCATAAACAAGCAAGATGTATGTGATATAAAAGATCAAGTAGCTATATATATATATACATGCACACATATATATACACACACGTACATATAAACGCATATACATAGTACGTGTACGCACACATACGTAAATATATATAAATAGATCGTGCGTGTATACCTGAATATTGTTATTGGAGAGATCAAGCTTGCAGATCAAGCCAACGTTAATAGAAGGATTAGGAAGAGAATCCAAAGACATGCCGCTCAAATCCATAATCTCAAGCCGTTCAGCTTCTTCTGTCCACCTCTCCGCACCTCTGTTCGTCACGTCGAGTCTCGCTTCCTGCTGCTGATGCGCCTGTTCGTACATCATCTTTACACAATACCTGTAACAGCTTGCTAAATCTGCAAGTATAATCGAAAAACAAATCGAACTGATCAAAACTAAAAATGTTTTTCCCGAGAAAATTATTCTAGAAAATTTAATCTCGAGAAAAGGAAAGAGAGACAGAGAGAGAGCGGGGAATCTGTTTAGTTCGGGTGAGTGTGAAAGAGAGAGAGAGAGAGAGAGAGTACATTTAAAGGGAGGAAGATGTACGGAGGAGAGTACAAGAGACGTGTGAGTGACGTTGGTTTTAGGGAAAAAAATTGTTGGGGCCCGCATGATCAGGGCATTAGCATTTGCCACGTGTACCACTTGAAAAAGTCAACACCACTGCAGCCTCTACTTAATTTTATCATCTTTTTTGTTGTCACGGTTGGCCGCAAATCTCGCGTCAGTTTTTGTCGTTATTCATGACCAAATCCCGGTTTCACTTCTTTCCCATTTATGTTTATATTTCTGTTATTTTTGGTAAATTATAATTCTGGATAATTTATTTACTAATTTCCGTCCAAATAAATAAAGAATTATACTTAAGTGAGTGACTAACTCTATATATAAAGATATACAGGAAAATATTTTTATTTAATGCAATATCCAGTCATCAATAGAAAATTTGCGTAAATAAATAAATAAATAAATAAATTTTAATTTTGTGATAAAATAAATTAAATTAGAACTTAGGATGTAAATGAATTTTTTTTTTAAATTAGGAATTTTTATAAATTTTAAAAGACTTAAGTAAAAATGTATGAAAAAATGGGTCAAATGCATAATTAAATAAGAGTTGAAGGAGACAAATAATAAATTAGAAAATGGACGGTTAAGATCGCAACGTCTGAGACATCCAACGACTTTAAATTACATCCGGTTGAACGATGCAGATCTAATCTTGCAAGATTAGATTACTAGAGAAACTAGTACTTAAAGGAGTAAATTAGGGATCCTCATTCGTCAAGTGAGAGCTGAAAATGAGAGAGGAAGAGAGCTGAGTTGAGCGAGTGAGCGAGGAGGCCGAGCTGAGTGAGGATCGAACCGAGAGGGAGAAGAGAACACCACAATAGAGAAAGACAAGCTAGGACAACTAGAAGGAGAGAAGGAAACGCGACCGAAGAGGAAAGAAGAGGTGTCGTGGAGGTGGAAGGCCGAAGGAAAGAAAGAAAAAGTCGTGACCAAGAAACGCCGCGTTGCTAACAGATTATGAAGCTGTGTTGCACATGATGCTGACGTTCAGAAAACATGTGAGTTTTCGTCCATTTCCACTTGGTTGAGTTTTCCTTTTTGTGTTTCACTCTAACGGGCATGCAAGGGTGAAACCAAATCACTCAGCCGTCGCAACAAATGAGGAGTTTCTCTCGGGGAATTAAGAAAACCATTCTCTGAAATCTAGGAATCGAACCCAAGGCTATCTCAGGTCTTCTGGGCACCAAACCCAAACTAGGTGAGTTCCTTTTTCCTCTTTCGGAGTGGGTTTTAGTGAATATAGATGCTAATAAGTATGTATGTGTATACTTACAGATTTTGGAAAATAAATCACCCACACCCACGCTGGGAGATGAAGTGGTGGTTCATCGAATACCGAAGAACGAACTTACTGTTGGCAGTAGATCAAGTTGAAGATAATTTATTTGGGAGAATTTGGTAAGTATCTTTGATTCTGAAGCTAAATTAGGATTTTGAATTTATGCATGTATATTATTACTTTTGTGTGTGTTTTAGTATGGAACAAATACTAACTTAATTTCTTGATAAAAACAGAACCTAGACACCTTCATAATAGTGGAAACTGCTAGGAATGAGTTTGGGACACTTGATTTTCCTAGTCTTTGTATCATTGGACATTGTTTCATTTGATTGTGTGACATATGACAAGTCCCTAACTTGTTTAGAAATCATGATGAGATGGAAACCTAAAAAAGTAAGGACTGATAAATGATTGAATTTGTAATAAAAAATAAAATTTATAAGTGACAAGAAAACACCAATAAAGTAAAAGGTTGAGAAAAAGGAAATGAACGTAAGAAAATAAATAAAAAGTAGGAAATGAATTAATTATAGTTATAAAATAAATTAAATTAAATATATTTAAATCAAAAAATAAAATAAAAGGGAAATAAATAAGAAATTGGAAAAAGAGTGGATATGAGTGAGTAGTGTATGGACCCTAGATATCTACATGTGCAGTAACTAGAAAAAGGGAAAAGAAAAAAAAAATTGTTTGGAGGAAACGACACCGTTTTGAAGAAGGGAAAACGATGTCGTTTTGGGAGGGAAAAAAATGACGTCGTTTTAAGTAAGCTGGTAGGATATAAATGGGGGTCGGGGAGGAAAGAAAAAAAAAGAAAAGAAAAGAGAAAAGCATGGAAGGAAGAGAGGGGGAAGGAGGAAGGAAGAGAGGGGGGAGGAGGAAAGAAGAGAGGGAAGAAGGTTCCAGAAGAGAGAGAGGGGGGAGGAGGAAAGAAGAGAGGGAAGAAGGTTCCAGAAGAGAGAGAGAGGGGAGTCAGAGCGGAGAGAAGCGAGAAGGGAGAGAGAAGAGGGTCGCGGACGGTGAACGGTGCGATCGGCAAGAGGAAAGAAAATAGAAATGGGAGGTACGGTAAAAACTTTGGTTGTGTAGGTGGTGTGTGAGTTGTGATGTTATTTGCAGGTTGCAGAGGCAAGGTAGTCTGTAGGTAGCTGGGCAGAGCTGAGACGTGGAGTGTAGGACGGAATGGCGGAGGCGTTTGCGGAAGAGGCCACAGAAAGGAGAGGATGACATTGCTAGGGCGTACGGGAGATCCGTGGGAGAGAGGGGAGGTCGTGTGTGAGCACCAAGGGAAGGTCACTGAGAGGAAGAGTGAGTAAGGAATTTGCTGTGTGTGGGGGATCCCAGATGACGAAGGGAATGGTGTGCGAGAGCGGGAGTGCGGAGGGAGTCGCGAGCGGAAGGAGCAGAAAGAATGACTTCGGTGAGTGTCCAGTGAGAGGGGTGAGTGTGGTGAGTGTGACAATGAGAGTCCGGACTATGCGAGGGAGGGGACCATGGAATAGGAATCAATATGTATGAGGAGTTTCGGGTGAGTGAAGAGGCATATGAAACAGTAGGGGAGGTAGGTTTAGAGGGGGATGAGAATGTAGTTGCTGGAGATGGGGATGGCATATGAGGGGATTGTAGAGTGTGGTTTAGGGTGGAAGAGTAGGGATGGATTGGTAGTGGTGTAGCGGGAGTGTGGTGAAGGGAGATAGGTTGGTATAGTTGCTATAAATTTAAAGGTTGGCGAGGCGAGGGAACATTGCCGGTGTATGCGTGAAGTGTTGGTGTGTGTGTGGCCTAATAAGGTCGAGAGGTAGAGGAGTAAGCATGGGTCACCGATGTTGATGACGTGAGATAATAGTACTGGTGTATGTGCGTGGCCTATTGGGGTCGAGGTGTGGAGGAGTGAGCATGAGTCGCCGATGTTGGTGACGTGCGAGAACGGTATTGTGTGTGTGAGTGGCCATTGGGGCCGAGAGATGGAGTGAGTATGA